ATAGGTCCCGGGTTTACATCCGGATAGCGACGGAGACATTTTCTTCTCTAAGATGTTCTCCTGTCACATCCTTTCCATTTCTCTAACAATGTTCTGTCGTCTTCTTTCGTCTCCGCGTTCTGCCCCAACCCTCTCACATCCTTTGCACCCTCCTCTGGGCACCTGTGACTCTTTCTACATGCTTTCTACTGCTACTTCTTGTTTTTGTTTTTCTACTGCTGTGTTTCAGCTACACCCCTGATCTCATGGTAGGTATAAGATCTAGCACCTAGCCTTCTCCGATAAGGGCGAAAACATCTCGGAGGTCCCATGTGTAAGTTGTGCATGTTAAAGATCCCTTGGTGGCCCAAAATCGATAAGAGTATTCTTCGGCTGCCACCCGGGCAAAATTCAAAGTTCCCTTCGAAAATGCTTACTGTGTCAGGTGCGCTCATTTGACCGTATACAGTTGTGAGCGACGTAAGACACTTAAAAAACAAAAGAAATTAAAAAAAAAGACAAAAGTTTATTCTGTTTGCCCTGTTGTAATAAAAATGCAGGTGGTTTTCGGCTGCTCTGGTGCGGTTACTCCTTCTTTCCTATCTAACATCTACCGTCCTGATCTTTCCTCCTTCTCTTTATGTTTATTACTCTCTTGTAACACCTCTAATCTTCGGCACTTTATATATTATATATGACCTTATTGTGTTGCAAGTGCCGTAAAACTCTTACTGAAACTAAAACTAAAACATCTGTCGTCCTGATCTGCCCTCCTTTTTTGTGTTTGTTACTCTCTTATAACACCTCTAACCTTTGGCACTTAATATACGACCTTATTGTATTGCAAGTACCGTGTAAACTCTTACTAATGCATAAAACACCTAGCCTAATCAGAATTTTTCACAAGAACCTTTGAAGGCTAGACAATATCTAAGTAGAATCTATTCCAGTCCCTGCTTACTGTGGTGACCAGGGGTAAGCAGTAATCCTTGTGTTGACTGTACCCGTGTTATTGTCGGCAAATCTTTTGGCAAAACATTCGTACGTGGGGGGTTAAGATTATGTGTTGGGAGAAAAACAGGTAGGGGAGAGGGGGTGGGTGAGGGTGGGGGTTGGGGAAAGGTTAAGATTATGTGTTGGGAGAATCGGGTAGGGTGGGTG